TGATCCAACATCCAATGGGCCTAAAACTAGACTATGTTGGTCGACTTGTCATTATCTCGTGGTTCATCGTTCGGATTGATCGTCCATCCACCAGAGCTATGCCACATCAGCCTATCCGTTAAGTTTTTAATGACAAGATACTAAAATGAAACAAAAACTAAACATTAGGTATGGTTTTGAAAAAAATGAAAGTTTAGGTGCTAAATCGATTAAAATAGATAGTTAAGGTACTAAATGCGTAGTTTACCCATAAATATAATAGTTTAAGAATTTATTTTGATAAGAAAATAGTTTAAAAAGTAAAAAGAGGTATAATTTAAGGTTTATCTTTCCTTTAAGCCCGTCTAGATTAAAAAATTTTATTTATAAAAATTTTAAATTTTAAATCTAAATCTTTAAATTTTAAGTTTTAAATGGATAAAATTATGTATTCTAAATTATAAAACATTTGTATTTCAAATAACTTTATTTTATTGTAAATTATATAAGATTTAATAATATATCATGTACTCTTCTTTTGAGTACATATAAATGTTTCTCTTTAAAATAAAAAAGTTAATTATTTTCAAAATAAAAGAATCATAAATATATAAAATATGAGGTTAAAATAACTTATCATAACCTAAAAAGAATAAGTATATGTATAAAGTTGATATAATTAATAAAAATTCAAATAAAAACAATATTATTAACAACAGTGAATGCTATTTTTATAGGTTCTCAATTCAAGTAATTGCGTCTACAAAATGTTTATACATTGTTAATGAATTAATTTTTTTTTTGAATAGATATAATTTTATAACCACTTTAGACAATTTAAAAATATCAATTTATTACATGAGTCAAACTAAAAAGGATGATTTTATTCTTAGAGGTCTTGAGTTCAAACATCAACATAAACATGATATATATATTTTTCGAATTAATCACTGGTATCCGATATATCGACCGACTAATCCAGATCGAATATTGCAGAGGCGAGGACGACCCTCCCAACCCAGTTTACTCTATTCGCAACCGTCATGATTCAAACCATTTAGCTTAAGAGATCTACTACCTCATCTCAATAGACTAATTAATTATTGATTGATATTTAAACGTTCGTTACTTGTAATTGCGGTAAAACGGAAGGAACGAATACAAAGGAACGATGAATGTCATTAAATGTGAGATATATGTTTGAGAAAAAAGCAGCCCAACGTGTGAAACAAAAAAGGCCATTGAATTGAACCCCAAAAGACGAATAGAAGCGTTCACAAAACCCTTCGATTCCACCTTTGAAACCCCCCCATAAGGGAAACGCTCGTACTCTTCTAATTCTTGCGAACCACCACCTTCCTTTTTTCTCAGCCATCTCTTCGTTTGCTGAAACCTTTGGTTTGTGAAGGAAATTAAGGCGTAGCTGAAGGTTCAAAATAGTAATGAAGAGGAGGAAGAAATTATGGTTGCCTGCATCATTATCTCATATTCAAGTGTTTTCCGGTAGCCTTGAAGTTCTCTTTCACGGCAGCCAGTGGTACACTTCCAACGGCGTCGTTTTGCTCGGAAGAAAGTAAATATATTGTCGGTTTCAACTTTGGAGGCCATTAATTTATATTCCCGTCGTCGGGAATCCGAAACACTTGCAGCGGCGTACACGGGAAAGCCAGGCATTTCCTTTATTTTTTTCCTTCTTCTCTTTTGGGTGATTATTTTTCTTTCTTAATTTTGTAATGAGATTTAATCTCTGCAAAAATATATTTAAATCTACGATTTAAAGTTATCGATTCCACCATTAAAATAAATAAATCAAATGACATAGCTTAACATTTGGTCTGTTTTTTTATTTAAAATTATCAATTCAATAATTAAAATAAAGGGTAAAGTATAAAAATGGTCCCCGACTACATAATGTTGTTTCGTTGAGTCTCTCGGTTATCAAAAGTTAAAATGATCCCTAACAGTAGAAAATTGTTTTGTTGAGTCTCCTGACTATTAGAAGGTACAAAATGATCACTTGACTATTTATATATTCCAAACTAATCATATTTCATTAAAAAAAATTGACATTCGTTTGAGCTATGCGTCAACATATTGATTGAGATATGATAAAAATAATATTTTAACGATGTCTACTAGCATCCTCGTTTCTTTCAAGCAGTGTAAACGGATAATTGATCTATAAAATACAACTCAAACGATTTAATGACTAAATTTTATCATATCTCCAGCTCGGACGGTTGTTAATTTCTTAACTAAAAATGATAGTTTGAAACAAATGAATAGTTAAGTGATTATTTTGTAACTTCTAATAATCAATGGACTCAATAAAATAATATTGTATAGTTGAAAAATCATTTTATAATTATAATACTCGAGAAATAAAAAAAACATAATCCTATAGCCGGAGATCATCTGTATACTTTACCTTAAAATAAATGTCGGAAGTTTAACATTTTGGTGTTGGTTTAAGAAATATTGAGAAAATAGTAGTCCATCTATTTATCTACCTTTGTTCTTAACATTTATCATATTTATAGCAATGAAACAATAATTTGGAGGTCATCACTATATCAAAATATATTAAATATTTATTTATTTATAATATTTAATATATTTAATATATTTTGATATAACATTATTCATATTTATTTCATCAGCGGCGTCGCTTTCACCAATAATTTTTAATTATTTATTTAAGAAAACTCTACATACTTGGTAGGTTGTAATAGCTCAAAATCATATTAGCACCTAAAACCAATAATTAAAACATGATTTTTATGTAAAGCTTTTATTAACCAATCCGATATTTCATAGTAGCTTTTATTTTTTTTGAAGTAATTATAAGATAATATATGTTCGAAATATTTTTAATTATTTGATAAAAATACTCCTATATCCCTACAAACATTTTGTGTTCTGAGTTGAATTATTATTTTTATAATAAAATTAAAATTAAAATTAAAACATTAGACTTTGAATGTTGCTGACATGACATTTGATATAATAATCAATAAATATTTTATGTATTTTTTAATACTTATGATTTTTAATTATTTATTTACATAATATTTAAAATAAATAATACCATATTACAATGAAATTCATATTGACCATCGTACATAATGTCACCTCATAATCCTTAAAAAAATATTTTAAACGATTTGAAAATAATTTGACCTCTTCAAAGATTAAAAATCAAATTTAACAAAAACAATAATTATCAATTTAACAAAAAAATATATTAAGGACTTAATTTTCTTTATACCATATTTATCATAACAAGAACACTGTTCTCCTATCAATTGTCAACATAAATTCTTAACTCCAAAACTAAGATTAGGAATCCGAACATGTCTTTATATCGGATTTAATAAACAAACGGAAAATTGCACCACCATCACTTAATTATTAATAAAATTAAAATAAATCATACAATTTTAAAAAGTCACAAATGAGCCATCCAATCAACCAAATGTGATGAACAAGGTATTCGGCCATTAAAAATGAAACCAACGTTAGAAGATGTTGTTAAGAAACATTTGTAATGATTTTCAATGGGTAAATTATACTATAAGACACCCATCTATTAGTAAAATTACAATTGAATCAATCATTCGTTTATTAGCAAGATTACAAATTAATCATACAATGTCGAAAAAGCACAAATAAGTCACTCAATTGAGTATGATAAACAAGTCATTAGGCCATTAAAAATAACACGGGTATGTTGGGAAACATTTTTATGATATTTTATTGGGAAAATTACACCATTGATAATCTATTTATAATCTTACTAATAATTAAGTGATTTATAGTGTAATTTACCCTATTTTTCATGAACAAAATATTTTACATCAAAAGTCATCTGATATTTAATGATTTAATGACATGTTTATGACAATCGATCAATTAAATAATTCATTTATCATCTTTTTGGAATTGGACGACTCATTTATAATTTTAGTAATAATTAACATATGATATAATTTACCATGAATAAAATCTAATAGAAAGAAAAAGATGAAATTATAAATTAAATAAAAAATATAACTCTTCTTGCACTAGCATGCATCAAGCAGTAATCTAAATAAATACAAAATAATACCTATTTAAATATAACTTTCAATTATTTAATATTGGACACTCATACTTTTATAATTCTTGAAGCTCGAACTCAAGACATATAACAATAATTTATTTATCACTGAAGTCGTTTGGAAGCTATATATATATATATATATATATAAGTTTACCTCAAATAATTATTGATAATTTTGTAGTTTCATGGAAACAGCTAGGGTGAGTGGAAGCAACGAGTCGATTGCTAATGGCGTCGAAGAATTAAGAATCGGATTGCCTTTTACCACTAATTTTAATTTCTACGTTTTCTGCATTTCTTAAAAGGAAACACAACATAATATCACTGACTCGTGCACCGTAATTAGTTCTTAAAAGACTAATATGATTGCATCCTATTCCCATATGGTTTTAGTTGTAGGTTAAGTGGGAGGATTAGTTCGGTCCACTAACTCAGCAACGCAATTTCTACTCACTGGGTTTTGCTTTCTTGACGAGGAGCTGAGAAAGTGGTTTCCATATACCTAAACGTGTACTCTGTTTTGAACCCCCAAATTAATACGGCCTTTTCCACAGCCCTCGACACCGCTTTCTTGACCATGTCTGTGGTCTAGAGATGATAATTCCATATCGATGCACAAGTCATCAGCTTGCAAAGCAGTCCCATAATGTACTGCTGCCTCTGGCAATGCATCCATATGAACAGGTCCCACATGTTGCATCTCAATTACATTCTTATGGTTCTGCTGCTTTGACAACTCATTGTTCTTCCAAATACTACTGCTTCCAGGAAACTGACCTTGCACGTGCTTTCCTCTGCTTCCTTCGGATTCGAATCCATCGTTCACTTCAGGGACACCATCCAATATGCTGGAAATACCTTCGAAAGCGAATACGTCTTGTGAGAAATCGGCATAGCAATCGTGTTTCTCCTGCATAAGCTAATTAAATTCAATATCTTTGGCATTGTGTTCATTTCCATCCAACTCTTCCGGACCATAATATGCATGACCTTGCTGTTGTGATATTGCCTTGTGCGGAGGTGCTTTTACATTCCATTGTTCCAACTGCTTATCCTCTACATCAACTGAACCTGGTAGGTAGAATGACTGCGGAAAAAAGATATGTTGAAAATAAATCTAAAATCAAAGGGAAGTAGCAAAGAGAGAAGCTAAAATCTTTACGTGCCTTGCCAGATAGAACTCGATCATCCTCCCAAATCAAATCATAACCTTCTTTCTCATCAAGTCTGTTAAAATGAGAAAGAAACAATACCTTTTGAGTACAATTTTTAACAGTTTGAATAAGGTTATAAGAGAAGCCTTTACCTTTTAGTTTCCCTAGGAACAATAAGAATAATAAGCTTTGGTCTGAAGGTAAGAGCTTTGCTAATGAACTTGTTAGCACGAGATGCCTTGACCCCAAAAGGGGGATTCAGTCCCATAATCTACTTGAAATGTCAAAACAAGAATATCAAAGAGAGAAAGAGAGAGCATACGCGGCATCTTCCTCTTTTTAAGCTTCTTACCAGTCTAGAACCGTTTGGTAATTCGTCTGGGTTCACACTCATCCAATCTCTCTTTTCAAAATTGAAGTCATTCTGCAACAAAAAAGGATTGGGAAACCCTTAAAATGACATTCACTGATTAAAGAAAGGGGAAATAATGAACTGCAACAACCAGGTAATCTTTTAACTGTTTCAGATGTCAAGTAAAAGAACACAAGCCAGTGATGATCGTATAGCATTACAGAAAACAAACAAAAATGCAGTTCTGGCATTTAAGAAACAGAGCCTAAATAGCAGATACATCTGTTACATAACCAAAGGAGGCTGAAAAACACCAACAAAATCAGTAAGCATTATCAGTCAAAAGGACCTTAGATAAAAGAAAGACTAACTTTACCTTTGGCTGAAAAAGATCATAATTTTTAAATATGCAGGATTTCCCAACTTTCTCTAGCTTCTCTTCCAGTAAACAACTGAAATCATTGGAACCACAGCAGAAGTCGACTATCTGCTCCAGTAGAGTTCATTGTGTAAATAAAATGATCATATTGACATAACCATGATAAATATAAAAAGCAAATCCAGTAATTAGCGAAGAAAAAAAAATCGAAGTCATAAATTGAGAGGGACAAAAAATGCCATAAAACATGATCAGGCTTTTTAAGCCATTTTTATGACCACCAAATATATCCTGAATAAGCCCGTCCAAAGGAACGAAAATTCAGATCCCACTGACCATTTTAAAATTTCAAGTCAGTGGCATCATTACCTTATACGATAACCTTCGATCTTTAGATGAGTAACCAAATTCCAAGTAATAGCAAGTGTGAAATAGGCCAAGCTAATTTCTAGTCGAAGTCATTGCATTCCCAATTTCACATTTTCAGAAGTATGATGCTTACATATCATTTATTCCAGCATAAATTAATATCCCCAATTAATCTCAAACTACAGAATGCCTCCTAGAATAAATAATCAAGCTTTTTGAAAACTGAGCATAGCAAGCAAACAAAAAAATGGGATGATTCTATGAACTGCTTTAAGTGATACATGCTGAGAGAATACAAAAAAAAAAAAAGCATTTACAGTTACAAATATAAAATTTAAGAACTGTTGAATTTCTATCCAGCTTTTAAGAACAATGTAATTTTGCCCATTGGGTTCTGTTTTTTCACTAGGAAAACCATACATTGTGTGCAATTATGAATGCAAATAAAGTGAGCTAAGGCCAAATGAATAACAATCTTACAGTATCACCATCTTGTACATACAAATGGAGCCTATCAACAATCTGCAGAATAAACAAGTGATATTCGCTATGTCATAACCCTTTTTTTTAAACAATTAAGTATTATTTAAAAAAAACAATTATTATTTTTTATTTGAAAAATTGGCAATTTTGACTTAATTTGAATTAAATTGAATAGGAGTCGCCATTGACCTTTGAGCTAGGTAGGTCGAATACCTAAAAACGTCTTTTAAAACAATTTTAAGAAAAAAATCGTTTTTAAGACAAAAACCGGTCTGCGCTATCAAAGATTCAATTTAATGGGTCCGGGAGTCGATTACACGTGGGGAAGGATAAGCACCCCCACAACGCCCAAAATTGGTACTTAATCGCTTACACGTTGTCGTAATGGCGGAAATCATGAATTTACATCGATCATTAAAGTATGATCCATTTATTAAAGTTAAGTAATTTGCTTCGAATTATTTGTTAGAGAAAATTCTTTGACTTGAAAAAGAAATCTCGGGAATCGCAATCCTCCATCGGGAAAACTATCACATCTATTTTTTTTTGTAAAAGAAAATTCTCTCCTCGATTTATTTAAAAATATTAAAACTGAATAAGAAAACAATATCAGAATTTTACATGAAATTATCTAAAAAACATGAATGGTCAATACTTAAACTTAAGTAAACCAAAAAGAATTAAAATAAAATAACATAAAAATAGAATAAAAATATTACTAACATTTAATACATAAAATGTTCGATTATTTCAAATTCACCCGTTTGAATATAGTATTGAATCACACTACCTCTATAAGGTTGTGCTTTTCACCCCTATTCTACGACGAATATTATTGAGAATATTCAAATGACATTAGAGCAAACTGGTAATACCAACATAAAAAAATATAGACACATCAACAAAAGAATTTTTTATAAGCTAAAATGTTGTGAATGTACTTAATATTATATAGATATGCTAGGTTAAGATTTATGTACATATGCATATGTAATATGTTATAACATAAAGTACATAAATAATGATAATAATGAAATTGTCGCAGTCCTCTTTCGGGTGCGCCCGGAATTGGGCTTCAACTTAAAATAATGGGTTAAAGTCGCTACCGATCATTTTAAAAATAATTAGGTTGATCAGACACCATCTTACCTGATATGCGTTTTACCAGAAATGTATCGGGTTCGGGAGTCAGTTACAGTCAAGAAAGGATTAGCACCCTTGAACTGCCCTTTCGATACCAATTAATTTGTCGGTTGTCTTTAATTGAGAAAATTTAAATTTAAATTTAAAAATTTAATTCGAATTAATTACCTTTGATCGATTAATATTACTACTGAAAAAATGTCAAAGATATGTGAGATGTTAGAATAGAAAACATCAAATAAAAATTAATTAAATAAAAGGGAAAATAAATCAATCAATCAAAAAAAGAAAAAATGTTATATATAAAAATGTTTTAAAAATGAAACAAATGGAGAAAATGTTAAATTTCAGAGAAAAATAATAATAAAATAAAATAAAAAAATATAAAGGACATTAAAAGAGGGAAAAATGAAAATAAAAAAGTGAGGGATAAAAATAAATAATAAAATAAAAAAATTATAATAAAATGAAATAAGTAAGAACATCGAGGACTAAACAATAATTAACCCTAAACATTCATGCCAAATTAGTGACCAAAACAGAAGATACACAAATCTAGGGGTCAAATTCGAATATTAACACTAAAAAATAAAACATTAAAACAGGACTAAAATGTAAGTATTGAAACATTAATGCTCAAAATAAAATAAGGTGAAAGCTCCTTAAGTGGATGCAACATAACATTATAATAGAAGAAGGACTTGAATTGCAATTATCCCATACTCTGAAAATACACGAAAAGTCCTGGGGAAAACAGCGTCATTTCTCGTGGACTATAAAAGCCTAGAGCTAGGCTTATTTTCTCACTTCCTCCCTTATTTTGCTCGTTCTCCCAAAAATAAAGAGATAGAGAATTGAGAATTCTCTCAACCTCCTTCATAGGAGGGAGACCGCCCCCAGGCCGACCGCCGCCAACCGTCGCCTCTGACGGTCGAAAAAAACCAAACTCACCCACATTGCTCTCCTCAACACCTCGATACCAGATCCAATCTCGAAACAGTAAGATACCCTATAAATCGGAGTAGATCTAGCCTAGAAAGTTTTGTTTTTTACCCTTTTCGACGAAAACTCTTCGCTTTTCCGATGTTTTGACGATCTGGGTCCCTTGGCCTTGGATGTTGTATTCAGTCCTTGGTTTTTTGGTTGTTTTGTGATTGGTTTTTGCGTGTCTTGTGGTTCTTGGTTTTTTCGTTATTTCGATGTATTATTGCTTTCGATCGTTACTGTTGTGGTTCGACGATTTTGTGGTTGCCTTTTTCTCGAATGTTGTGCTATGTGTTTTGGTACTGTGATGGGTTTTGGTTTAATGTGTTCCCTGTTTGACCTCCACTATGGTTTTTATAGCCTCGGTTATGGCTATTTTGAGCCCCGAATAGGACGAGGTCGTGGTTGTTATTGGTTGATCGATAACCCAGGGATGGTTCAGTCCCGGGGATTTCGGTCGAAAATTGTTGGTTGTTGGCGCGTGGATTACTTCGCCTGTTGCGGCGTCTTTGGATGAGTGTGAAACCCTAATGAATATGGGCTGGCTGGGTTAGGCCTGCCTACCCAGTTGGGCTTCCCCTTGGACTGTTTGAACCCTGGACTAAAAAGGAGATAAAGGAAAAAACAAAAATTAAATAAACAAGATATAATATAAAAATAATAAAAAATAAATATAAAAATAATAAAATATATATATATATATATATATAATATTATATTTCCAAAAATAAAAATATTTTAAAAATTATATATTATATGTTTTCAAAAACCGATTTTAAAAACTATATAATATATATGTATTTTCCAAACGTTTTTTTAAAAACTATAATATATATATATATATATATATATATATATATATATATATATATTTTCAAAATGTTTTAAAAACTATATAATATATATGTTTTCAAAATGTTTTAAAAACTATATATTATATATATTTTAAAATGTTTTAAAAACTATATATTATATAAGTTTTCCAAATGTTTTAAAAACTATATATTATATGTTTCCAAAATGTTTTAAAAACTATATAATATATATGTTTTCAAAATGCTTTCAAAAACTATATATTATATATATATTTCAAAAATCATTTGCAAACTATAATATATATATATATATATATATATATATATAATAAATAAAAAATAAATACGAACGAAAATGAGTGTCTACAGCTGCCTCTCTTTATCTTTTTTCGTGGAACGAAAAATAGGACAAAGATAAAATGACACAAATTTTCGTTTGGTGGAGTTGAAAATTGACTCTGATATTTTAATTAAGAATAACTCCATGTCGAATTGAATTGCGAATGACTCCTCTGTCGCGAGGTCGAGTCCATCTTGAAATGGAATTGAAGCCGTAGTTCGGAATTTGAATCAGAATGTGGCTTTTCGTTGCCAAATTATGGTCAACTTCGGTCTTCTTCTCGATTTAAAGACATTGATTTAAAAATCCGACTTTTCGTGTATTTTCAGAGTATGGGATAATTGAAATTTAGGTCGTTTCCCATAGACTATAAAAGCCTTGAGCCAGGCTTATTTTCTCACTCCCCCTCATTTTGCTCCTTCTCCCAAAAATAAAGAGAGAGAGAATTGAGAATTCTCTCAACCTTCCTCACCGGAGGGAGACCGACCCCCAGGCCGACTGCCGCCTACGGTGGCCGGAAAAAACCAAACTCACCCACGTTGCTCTCCTCAACACCCCGATACCATATCCGACCTCAAAATAGTAAGATACCCTATAGATCAGAGTAGATCTAACCTAGAAAGTTTCAGGTTTTACATTTTTTTGGCGAAAACTCTTCGCTTTTCCGATGCTTTGACGATCAGGGTCCCTTGGCCTTGGATGTTGTATTTGGTCCTTGGTTTTTTAGTTGTTTTGTGATTGGTTTTTGTGTGTCTTGTGGTTCTTGGTTTTTTCGTGGTTTCGATGTATTATTGCTTCTGATCGTTACTGTTGTGGTTTGACGGTTTTATGGTTGGATTTTTCCCGACTGTTGTGTTGTGTGTTTTGGTACTGTGATGGGTTATGGTTTACTGTGTTCCCTGTTTGGCCTCCACCGTGAATTTTATAACCTTGGCTCTGGCTATTTTGATCCCCGAATGGGACAGGGTCATGGTTTCTACTGGTTGGCCGAAAACCCTAGGATAGTACAGTCCCAGGGTTTTCGGTCGAAAACTATTGATTGTTGGCGTGTGGCCGCCACACGCGTGGATTACTTCGCCTGGTGCGGCGCCTTTGGATGAGTGTGAAACTATAATGAATCTGGGCTACCCGGGTTAGCTGGCTGGGTTAGGCCTTCCTACCCGGTTGGGCTTCCTCTTGGATTGTTCGAACCCTGGACCAAAAAGGAAAGAAAGGAAAAACCCAAAAATTAAATAAATAAGATATAATATAAAAATAATAAAAAATAAATATAAAAATAAATAAATAAATAAATAATATTATATTTCTAAAAATAAAATATTATAAAAATTATATATTATATGTTTTCAAAAACCGATCTTAAAAACTATATAATATATATGTGCTTTCCAAACGTTTTTTTTTAAAAACTATATAATATATATATATATATATATGTTTCCAAAATGTTTTAAAAACTATATAATATATATATATTGTTGGGATTTTACGGAAGCTCGAATCGACAACCGTAAGGGTTCGCCAAGAGGGGTTGAATTGGTTTTTGTGTTTAGGGAGTAAGGAGATTGAAAGATAGAAAATTGCACAGCGATTTATAGTGGTTCTACTTCTCAACCAACTCTACATCCACTACCTTAGCTCCTCACCAAGGATTTTCTAATAAATTCACTAATTTGTTCTTTCTTTTTCAAGGACAAAGATATAACCTTTACAACTCCCTAATTTTCAATGGCTAAACTAGAACCAATCCCTAGCTTTTAACATGCTCAGCAAGAACCAAAACCCCTTTACAAAAGGATAAAAGAAGTAAACAATAAAACCTCTCTAAGGTAGGTGTTTACAAGATTTAAGCTCACTAGAACAATATTTACAAGAGAGAATGAAAATAAGAATGAAAAAACGCTTATCTTGTGTTTGAATGCTTGGATAGGTGTTCTCTATGTTCTTCAAGTGTCTTGAACATGTATTTATAATTTGGAATGAATTTGAAGACGTATATAGCCATTGGGGATGTTTTGGAACCGTTGGGGATTCATTTTCTGCAAAATAAAACTGCCCATAACAGGGTGTATCGGTACACTATTAAGGTGTATCGGTACCCCTTCATAAAATTCAAATTTTATAATCGTTGGGCTAAAAATACTGTAGCAGTGTATCGATACACTGTAGAGGTATCGATACAGTTTCACATTCGATGTTTCTGAGGATCGGTACTATTCATTATTGTTCACACATTATCGGTACTATTCATATAGTACAATACTATTCATAAAAATATTTTTGTGCTCAATTCCAAATTAAATGGACTTTGAATTAATTTTGTAAATTTTGAAAACTTTGAATAAATTCAATTCAAGTTCAAAAAACATTTTGCCATAAATTGGTATATCAAAACATAGTTCAACATATATGTTTTCAAAATTATTTATATATATATATATATATATATATATATATATATATATATATATATATATATATATATATATATATATTTAAAATGTTTTAAAAACTATATATTATATAAGTTTTCCAAAGTTTTTAAAAACTATATATTATATGTTTTCAAAATGTTTTAAAAACTATATAATATATATGTTTTCAAAAACTATATATTATATATATATTTCAAAAATCATTTGCAAACTATAATATATATATAATAAAAAATAAATAAAAATAATTAAATACAGACGAAAATGAGTGTATACAGAAACAATCATAATATTACGCAACTGATAAAAAATAAAATGAAGTTATGCAATAATTTATTATATATATATATTTCATATAAACATGAGAGGGACCGAAAAAATAAAACTAAATGAATAAGAACAAAATCATAAACAAAATAAATGTAAATATGTATTAAACCCATGGAACCTTACTTAAATAACAAAAAAAGTAACCAAAATGAGCTCAAAATTAAAATCCAAGATTAACAATTATTTTATAACACATTGCTTAAGAACTAAAATAGGAGACATGAAAGCCTTAAAAAATAAGTGATAAATATAGTTGGATTCATGAACGCATAGACTAGGATCAAAATATACTAAAGCATAAACATACAACCAAAAAAACATTAACTAAAATAAACATACAACAAGTCGTATAATGAATAAAATGCAAATACAGAGAAATTCGAAGCTCGAATCAAGAGGAAATAATTTCATTCAGTAATTGAATGATGATATTATTATTATTATTATTATTATTATTATTATTATTATTATTATTATTATTATTATTATTATTATTACTACTACTACTACTACTATTAATATTTTACTCATTATCTTTCTTTTAAAACACCTTAATCCACCAAAATTCTTTCTTTTATTTTAGTTCTCCTAGAACTAATTAAACATCTTCTTCAACACAAACTCTTTTCCTCTCCCTATATAAACCTACTGATTTTTCTTAATCTCACAAATCAAACGAACCACTTCTCTTATTTTCTTTAAAACTATTAAAACCTTTTTCTTATTTTCTTTTCCCTTCTTGCTAACCTACCGTCGATTGCTAAACCTACACCATCACCATCGTCGACTATCATGCACCATCTCTTACACGCCATCGATCGCCGCCGCTCGTAAACCACCAAAAGTGTCACCGATTAGTATTTCACGATCTTTCCTTTCTTATTTTCATCTTTATTCTCTAATGCAAAAAATTCAAGATGATGAAAACAAGAAGTCAAAGATCCGCTACTTTGGAATTCAATTTTGAACCAAGCAATTCCAACTCTGCTCAATCTTCTCGACCTTGCAACAATTTCGAACCTTCAAATTCACGAGAACATCCACCTTCACCGATATCATCACATTACCTTACCATACCATCTGAAGAAGAGTTGCAAGGCTACTAGAAATTCAATGACAATGAGCGAATTTGATTTAATAATATATGGAGTCGAAACTTTTAAGCTTGTAAGTATATTCCTACTCGTACTCCAGATAATTTGTATCTGAGACATTTCATTACACATTACTTCAATGCTATTGGCTGGACTTCATATCCTGAAATTAAATGTGGAACATATTACGAATCGGTTCTTGAATTTTATACCGCATTTAACTTTTTGCCACATCGAGTTGTTAGCGTGAATTCCCTAGATGTTATATCATTTTGCCGGTTAGGAAAGTACTTTAGGATGTATATTTCTGATTTTAATTTTTCCATGGGGTTCATTACAGATGTCACAGACCAGAGCTATCTGACATCTTTACTTGAAATTCCACAAGATTTTGACACAGACTATGCCTACTCCATGTTGATCGATTCTTCAAGAAAAACATTCAATACACAAGCGACGAAAGGGTGTCACATCTACGATCTGTACTTCAATACATCCACAGATTTCTTGCATTCAACTACTCAGGGAATAACGACAATACACCTAGTTTGAGCAAAGTTGAAGTGTTCTTACTTTGGTGCATGCTTACCAGCATCAAAGTTAACCTAGGATTTTGGTTCACATGAGCTTTTGAGCGTGTTGTACACTCTAATCAACCATTGATTCTCGGCCCTTACATAACTCATCTCACATCTAGACTTTTCCCATGTTCTTGTACTACTGAACAATTTACTCATAGTTTTTCTATGGATGGTTTAGATCTGCGATGCTTGGACATGATGGGATTACTTAATGGCACACCTGATGCACCTTTCATTGTACCTTCCGACACCACAACACCTCGAAGCGTTCGTTTCTTCCTCTGAAGACATGCACCACCTTTGGCGCTGACAGATAATGTACGATCAAACATGCAATATCAATTTAACGAAATTCACGATCTTCTCAACTCTTTTGAGTCCACTTTTGCCAATATTCTCTCCTATCTCAGCCTGGATACCTCTAGTTGAAGTCGAGGCCGTCACTAAACACGTGCAATATCGCTATTCCTTCTCCTATGCTTTAATATACATATTGGGACAATATGCTTTAAGTGAGGGATAGAGAACATAGAGAACACTTACGTCGAATTATCTCTCGCTTATCTACATTCTTTAAATTGAGTTGCATTGATTGAATTGCTGAAATCTCTTTTTATAAATTTTGAATCTTGCTTTGTCTCATTAAATAACTTAGGAGTTTGTGATCACACTTTTATCAGATTTAGGGTGCATGATAGTAAAAATGGTATGACTAGTATTTTTCTTAAAAGTTTTATTGGATACTCCATGAATCCTTTAGTTGATATGTTTCTTGACTTGATACACATTATCCCTTCTTGTGAGATTAGAGCCTAAATAAACATATCTTCTTATTCTTGCTCATTTGTTTGATTGAGTGTTCCAGATTAATTTTAACATTCTAGAACTTGTGATTAAATGCATATCGAGACCACATGTTGAAACTTGATGCTTTAAAATGATTAGTGAACTTAGGATTAACCCACTTCTCTACCCAAATGGCCTATCCTTTCATTTACATCCATTAAGGAACCAACTTTGAGCCTTTACCCTTTTCTCTACCCAAATGGCCTATCATTTCATTTATATCCATTAAGGAACCAACTTTGAGCCTTTACCCTTTTCTCTTTTTTTTTACCACATTACAAAACCTTCGCCTTATTTATTTGTTTCTCCTATCTTGTTACCCTTGTCAAGATATGAGATAGATTTACTCCACGAACAAAAAATTAATATAAGAAAGAGAAAGCAGTTCATAATTTTTTTTTGGATCAAACAAAGCATTCGAACAAAAAATAAAAGAAATAGCAAAGAAAATCGCAAAAAAAGGAAAGAAAAAGAAAAAAATTTATTTTGTTATGCTTCCTCGAGAGTGTTTACTTTGTTGAATTCGTGGCTTGAACTCATATATTTTACATCTCTTGTCTTGACCTTTGAACCCAATTTTTCAGCCTTTTCCCTAACCCAAACTAAGCTCTGTTACAACCTTATTAAAGATCCTTTTGATTATATGCATCTTGTTCGAACAGGTGGTGGAGACTTGACTTTCTTACAAGCTTATGGTAATGTCCTTATTAATCTCGGTTTTGAGCGATTTCTTTTACCCTAAACACTTTTAGTGATAATGAGTGAATCCTTGGAGGTAGAGTCTTGTTGCATTGAAATTGATAGATAATTGGGATGCCTTAGCTTTTACTTAAAATTCTTTTTAGTTATGCCTATTTGCTTAATTGTTACCTTGCTTCTGATACTCGATGTGATCATTAGCTTGTTTGGTTTTCCTTGGTACACTGTGAGATAAAAGATTAATGATTTGAGATTTTTACAATTGATTAAGGCATGCTTGAGGACAAGCTTTGAATAAGTGAGGGGGAATTTGATGAGTGTTTTATTTGGTTAATATTTTGTTATTAATTAAACCGTGTTATTTCCTTTTATAATGCTAATTTGGGATGTTTTCTATTTTTTAGGAAATAACAATTAAAAGGCAAATTAAACAGATGTTTCTACTTATTTGGGAAAAGTCGGTGCCAACTCAAATTTAAAGGTCGATCCAAGCACAAACTCTAATTAAATATTTCAAGTATCAATATCAAAAGAGGAAAGTAAGGTGAACCATAATTCTTTAGGAATTTAAAATTTGTAATTGAATTCAAACATTTGAGATTTTATTATTTTATTAAGAATTTAGTTTGCATAGAATTTTTATTTAGGATTTTTTATATTTATTAATTAGGATTTTAGTGTGTTAGAATTAATCGTTTGAATATTTTAAGAGCTAGTATTTTATTTTCATCAGGTTAACTCAAGACAATAAATACCCCTATGGGTGAAGCTTGAGGGGGTACAAGTTTAGAATTCAGTATAGAACTGATTCTTGCTTTTTCTTTATTTCAGTTTATTTCAATAAAATTATTTTTATTCTCTATCTACTCTCTTTCTACACGCCAAACATGATTTCTACCATGCTTGACTAAACTTTTCGTTAGCTAATAGTTGAGCGACAACTCAATCCAGTCTTGTGAGAATCGAAAAGGTATGTAACATCTTCAAAATTTTTTTCTTTATTTTTCTACAAACAAGGAGAGGCAATCGGCATTTCTTCAACATCTCAATATCTTCAATCCAAGAAGTGTATAGATCACTTTGGAAATAAGTTCACAAGAGAAAAGAGCATGTTACAAGGGTTGGGTCTTGTAAACTATAACCAGAAAGTATCCGAAGTAAAACCTATTTCAGTGTTCGAGATGGATTGAGGCAAAGAGAAGTTGGAGCTATTTCTCATATTTATTATTCCTTTACAATTTGCTTTTCTCAATTTTCCTTATTGTTTGCATCTTAGTTTTACTTTATTTTTATTTTACTTTTTTACTTTAAAATCCCCCTTTCTTTTTAATTTACTTGTTTTACAGGTTTCTTGGTTCAAGATCAAATTGAATTAGAATTAGAAATTTCCTAATCCATGTGGACCAACACCCTTATTTTCTATATTACTTTCTTAGCATAATTATCCGGAAAAAAAGATTATTTATTTGACAATTATAACGCTTGTCACCGATCATCAATGATAATTTTATCTTTTCGCTATCATGCAATATCATGCATTTAATTTTGTTCAACACAAAATTCTTTTTTGTTTGATTCAATCAAGATGTGTTTACAAATAGTGCATCATTTGACACGACAAAAGAAAATCAATTCATCTCTAAAAATTATTAAACCATGCAAAACATAAAATTTAATAATCTTTCTACTCTTTCATCAAAATAGGAGAACCTTGTAAATTTTTATACTTCCATCCGTCACAAAATGAATTTGGTATTACAACCCAACAATAGAATTTCATACTTTAAAGATGTCAATATTGTGATTAAGATATACAACTTAGATATTCTGATACAATTTTTTAGAAGATAACGACAAATATAATCATCACATAATAAAATAAACAACAAGAATTTACGCGAAACACTATTTTAGTAAAATTCATAGGTGAAAGAGGAAAATTTTTCACTAATGTCGAAAATAAAAAAAATAAAGGAATATATACTTCTCTTTTAACCTTAATACTAGTATCTATTTATATTAATTATTACTTGATTATAAAAAATCAAGACCATAAATATACTCTAATTATGTTTCACACTCTCAATTAACATAAAATACAATAAATGTTCTACTTTCAACCAAATTATATCTTTTATTTTCTTCAATCAATTTACATCAAATTAAATTCAGATTAATTAATATTAACGTATCACAATGCTCAAGGTACAAGAAAGCAAATCAATTTTTATAGAAGGAAATTTCTTCTCTTAAACCCTGGAGGTTTGCTGACAAGATAACAACAGAATTATAAAAGTATACAGTTATTTTAAACCATAAAAATCAATTGGTAAACATAGAATTAATGTGAAACCAATTCAAGGTTTCGACATGAATGCTTATTTTGAACCACTAAGCCGGCATTCCCGGAAACGCAAACTCCTTGAATGTCCCACACCGTGGATCGTAAACAGCAAGAGCTCTCCTCTCGTACTCCAACAAGATATCCCCACTTCTCAACACACAAAGAGCTCGAACAAATAAATTAGGAAAACTATGTCCTGAATAACTCAAGTATTGTCAGCACTCTTGTTGTATCAATATCGGGGGCACATAACTCCCAATGCTAAACTCTTTGATCCAAGACTCTTTCACACCGTAATCCGTATTCCTTCAAACCCAGATCTCCAACCGTCCATCCCCATCATGAAACGCACCGGCCGACAGACAACCTCGTACAACCAACAGATGACACAAACACATGTCGGAGCCCTCCTGGCTGGAACTGCTCGGTTTCGAGATCGAACGATATAAAGTAGCTAGCCATGGTGTACTTGTTAGGCATGGAAAGCCATTGGAATCTCCCATTTGCCAAAGCCTTGGATTCCCACTTCTTCATGAAGTGGATTCTAAATTTCTCCATGAAGGGGTTCCGATCGTTAGAATCTGAACCTCCCATTGAATCAACGTTAATGGATCTTCGTTCGGGTGGTCTCTTTTCAATTTTCTTCGAAACACTAAATGGATCACCTTGTATTCTTTTGTGGTTCGACGAAAACCGAACCCCAAATGCCCCAGTTTCGATGGATACTGGACCAGTTTGGGGAGCTCCATGTAAAGCCTGGTGAAAGGGTTACAGATGAATACGTTTCGACTTTCGAGAACTATCACGCATGCAAAGCAAGCCGTTGCATGAATCTACCATGTACATGGGCGGAGTTGTTGGAGTGAGGAGCTTCTTTGAGATCGATGAAGTGGCGTTGGTCGGGGTTTGGCCAGTTGCTCTGTAAAATGAAGCTGGGATCATTGTCGGCCTCAGCCATGTGCGACTGGGGCTTGCTTATGAGAAATGGGTCTTGAATTAGGGTTCGCCAAGCTCTGCAATTCATCTTTGAATTCAGCAAAGATATTATGGGAAGCCTGGATAGTATATGGACGACGGCTTCCTGAGGAAGACGATCCATCATGTTTGCTGCTGCCTGGCCTTTTCTTCACAAGTTTGCTCTCTTTCAGGTTCAATGCCGCCATGATTAAGAAACACAAACAAGTAATGGAATATATATAATCCAGTAGAATACATTTGGCGATCAAAACAAAGTGGATGTTGAAAATCTCTAAACAACAATTTAATATTAATATTGGAGTTTGAATCGAATTAAATCTGACTCAAGTTGATTGGAGAGAGTAAAAAAATTAATTTGATTGAAAGTGTAAAATATATTTTCTTTTACGTTGATCAGTAGTAGAAAATACTTTGAGTTCAACTAAATAAGTTTTCTTTGTAATCAATTAGCTTATAGTTAGGGATCTAAAGTTCATTTTTGGTACGGTAGTACTTGAAATTTCAATTTTTACAAAATCAAACTTTGGGTCCTTGGGGTTCTAAAATAAAACAAAAAACTAAACTTTAAGTATGATTTTGTAAAAATTGAAACTTCAGGTACTAAAATGTACCAAAAGTAAAACTTTAGATACTAAATGTATAGTTTATCCTATACATAAATACTAGAGGTTAGGGTTAAAAAGTAGGGTAAATTATGTATTTAGTACCCGAATTATCAGTTTTGTTTATTTTAATATCATACCTAAAGTTTAGTACATGAACTATCAGTTTTGGTATATTTTAGTACCTGAACTATTAATTTTTTTCAAAACCATACCTAAAGTTTAGTTATTGTTTCATTTTAATACCATGTTAAAAATTTAACGTTAAGTTTTGAAACAAATTGAAATTTTAGGTACTAAAACAGACAAAACTGATAGTTTAGGTACTAAACACGTTAAGTTTTTAACTGTTGTATACTAAAATGAAATAAAAACTAAACATTATGTATGATTTTGAAAAAAAAGTGAATGTTCAGGTACTAAAGCAGACCAAAAATGATAGTTTAGCTACTAAATGAGTAATTTACCCTAAAAAGTAAGTTGTTCAATGAGCACGTTTATGTGGTCAAGATACACTCATCTTTTCTTGTATTCTCTTAGGTCATGAGTTCTAGATTCGTTAGGAACACTTTCCTTCCTTCCCCGAGAGTCCACACTTCCCCTCTCCTAGAATTTTTTTTTTGAAAAAAATTAAGTTGTTATATGAGATAGGCATAACTGAAACACATTAAATCTCATTTCTTATTTTATATTGATCTTACATTATTTATTTTACCGCTTATAAAACCCTAACAATTACAATAGAGGCATTTTATTAAAAGGGACTGAATTTTACGGAGCAATGTTCCACCTACCAACATAATGAAGAAACCATTTAACGGAGCAATGGCAATATTGTATTTGAATTTTAATACCAATAACCTAAAACCTTATTATTCCACCTCCTGAAATTAATGCAGCAAGTGAAAGCTTCCAAGAACTATGAGAATGACAAAGCAAGTACTTTCCTCTATAATCTGTATTTGTGATCCAAAACAAAGACCTGTCAAATAATATTTCAATCATGTGTATGGGAAAACGCCATGAAAGCCGAATGGTATTAAGAGAGAAGAGTTGGGAGGCTGAAAGACTTGGAACCTCAAAGCCCAAATCACTTTGTACCATGCAATGTGGTGTTAATTGATGTTGCGTACGAGTTGTTGGAATTGAGAAAAAGATTAATGCATATTTTGTTAATATGAATGGAGAGGGTATAATATCAGATTATTGGGAACAAAAAAAATCATCCATTTCAGATATAAAGTGTGAATGGAGAAGGAATCAGAATCTGCAGTAATTTATTCAGAGATGGGCATCCCTTTTAATGTTTCACACTAGTAAATCTACAAGAACCTTAGTTACAATCTGACTGAAACACAAACTCAAATAATGGAACTAGACATGGAAAAGAAAACAAAAACCAAGGCATACTTTGCCACAGCCATGACAGAACATAAAACCTAGGTAGCAAAATAATAACCATTAGTAGTCTAATATCTATATGTATCCCCGCCTGACGCGAGATGCATGACCATTTTCTGTCTACATCCCGGAATCTGATTTTACATCTCACTCACATACCAAAGGAAAAAATAATAAATAAATAAATAAATAAAAGAAGCTCTAACTCGAACCTCAAACCTGAACAAAGGATATGGATAATGTCCAACTCTAAATTCAGTTCTCCAGAACAGGTACTCTAGTTTAGCTTTAGATAACTGACTTTGTTGACTGAAACATATTAATGAGGGAAATGTGCAAAATTCACAGATCACCTGTCTCACGAGATTATCTTCACCTACAATATTTGCAATAACCAAAATAATCTTCTAGGTAGCAATTCCTGGAACCAATGGAAAATCAAAGTGTGTAAGTGTAAAGAAACTAACTCCAGAACGCTGAATTTATAAAAATGTTTTAGAAACTATGTTAAGAAGCATGTTTTGTTCATTCAAAGGAACAAGCCAGCAATTGCAAGGGCATCAGAGATTTCAAACTTAAATTATAATGAAACTAAAAAATAGGAAGGATAGACATCAGAAGGCATAATTTATTCCATCAGCAGGCAGGCAATTATATTACGAAGGGCAGAAAATAGGAATCATGAAAGATAAAACCTTAATATAGACTGAGCCTATGACCATTTTCATTAGTCAACAAGCAGATTCTCGAAGAATTTATTCTATCATATGCTAACCATCTTTGCCTCAGGCCATGGGACCCATTTAGCGTTATTAAAAGAACTTCTGTTATCAAAGAAATCCAATTCTAAAATAAAACAGGCCAGTTTTACAGTAATCTGCTTGATTATAGTCCTGGATAAGATTCTTGAGTAGTTTCTTCCATAGATGACCAAGAAAGAATGTTCGCTTTCTTTTCTTTTCCCTTCTTTTGAATCCAGTGGGTGAACTGGATGATATGAGTGAAATCCTTCAAACCTATAAATCTTCAATTGTTGCTGAAAGCCAGAAGTTAAAACTTTAGAACACTCCATCTCTGTGCAATGCAAGTAGGGTTTAAACTTTGGCTCCTCCAATGATCAACTAAAATATCAATCTACTCATTCAAAATTCCATGCAAAGTAAACTACAGGCTAGAAAATATGCATTGAAGTCCTACATCAACTAACAACCTAACCATTTTTTTAATTCTACTTTTGTTAATACAAATTTCACAATTAAGATGTGAAAGTAAGGAAGGATGAGAAGCGCATTCCAGTAAACAAAGATCAATACCAAAGGCTTGTTGGTAAGTTAATTTATTTATCCCTAACCAGACCAAACATTGCTTTTTCAGTAAGCATCGTGAGTCAACATATGAATGACCTTAGAGAAGAGCACATTGAAGCAGTCAACAGGATTTTAAGTTATTTTGACACCTGGATGCAGACTGATTTTCAGGAAGAATGAGAACTGCAAGATAGAATTTTTTTTCTAATGCTAGCTGGGTTGGAGAGTTAACCAATACAGGATCCACGAGTGGTTACTGCTCATTTGTATGGGGAAATTTGATTACATGGAGAAATAAGAGACAAAATGTGGTGTCAAGAAGCAGTACTGGAGAAGAATTTCAAGCACTAGAACTTGGAATTTGTGAAGGAATGTGGATGCAAAGATTGTTGAAAGAATTGGACTTCGATGGACAGTTCGAGGTAAAAAACGACAACCAATTTACCATCAGCATTGCCAAGAACCCTGTCCACCATTACAGAGCCAAATATGTGAAAATTGATAGACACTACATTTCAGAGAAGGTCAATAACGGTTCAGTTAAATCAAACTATGCTCCTACACAAATAGTTTGCATATGTCCTCACCAAGGCCCTTCAAGAGCAAACTTTGATGAGCTAATATCCAAGATGGGAATCTACATACCCACCAGCTTAAGGGGAGTGTAGATTGTAACCGAATAAATTAGAGTTCGATTGCAATTTAATTATTAGAGTTTTATTTTATTTTTTTCATTTTGTACTCTGCATCTTATCTAATTAAGAGATCAGATAAGATAAAATTAGATAGAATATTAATTAGAATAAGTTAACTTCTAACAGGACTCTAAGTTAGAGTAGTATACCTATTGTAAATCTGCCTATATAAGACCTAACATATGTAGTCATTTTCAACGAGAGAAATAACTGAGAATACATTCTCTTCTCTGTTCCAAATCGTCTTCTTTATTTTCTACAAAACTAGTGACAAATCAGGAAAATATAGTGATGTAGGTAGCCCTCTGTCAATATCATGAGAAAATGAGTAGAAGTTCATGATCAATGCCATATCGGAAAATACAATGCTAAACTACACCAATGCAAGACCAAAATTCAACTCATTTGTGTTTTCCATTTCAATTTCTGGCATCCTTCTGCTCTGAGCACTTAATGAATTTTAAGCTTTAAACCCAAAAACACCATGATCAAGAGAAAATATTGTCAAGTATGCATTAGACCACCAAACCCGGTTAACATGGAAGGAAAAATAAATGTAAGGAGAAAATACAAGAAGAGAGCTCAAAAGCAGTTGCTTCATACATCGCTAGCCCAAAATAGGCACAAAAAGTCAAAATCAAAACACTAAAAGCTAAACTATAGAAGGCGGGGCAGAAGAAATATGTCCTTATAAGACACATAATTCTCTACATAAAAAATTATCTCAGATTGAAGAAGTCTAGTGAAGAGGTTAGTAAATTACAACTATGCTTCAAACCTTAATAAGACTGAAGATGATATATCAAGGAATGAATGATTGATCACAATTCAAGTAATGCTTGGCCTAGAAGATTAGAAAAATATAAGATCATCAATAAGATGTTGAAAAAACAATAAATGATGTGGCACAAGTTAGAAGGAAACAAAACAAGTGCATTCAAAACCTTCTGATTGCGGCATAAACTTGGGAAACACTAGGTCATAAGCAGCCAAAAATAACCAATTCAACTTGTATGAGGGCAAAATCAATAAAAAACTTGAGTGTTAAACAAAAAGATAGGTGCAAAATGTTTTGGTTTGTTTGTGTTCTTGTTACTTTATGATTTGTATCTTTGTAAAACAATTATTTTCACAGAACATATAGTACCTTAAATCTGTGTAGCATTAATTAATGACTCAACAGAAAACTTCATTAACTACTTTTCTTTCGTTCCCTCTTAGGAGATTCAAAGATATATTAAATGCTACTAAATTATACAACCAATTTCAAAAAGGTTACAGAAACTGTCAAATGTAAATAACATACTCATTTCATATAAACCACATTTAGTTAATAAATGAATTATATGGCATTATATCCAAAAGTTTCCTATCAATCTTGCCAGAGATAATTCTTCCAAAACTAGCAGGCCGGTAATGCAGCTATTAGGAAATGAAAGATCATATTACTAAGAGGAATGTGTTGCCAAATTTAACACCTAGCATTCAAAATAGATAGCCGAGTTATATGAAAGTTGAAGGTTTTTTCTTTCATTACACTTCAACAGCACTAAAAAAGGATCGTGCTACTAAACGCCTATGAACATCAATATGAATTTGTAAAAACATTTAAATAGAGGTAAGAAATCTTACCTCTATTTGATTGTCTCCTATTAACGCTATAACCACCAACATAATAACCAGGATAACTTTTACCCGAAACATCAGAAGTGGCACTACCAAGTACATAACCAAAGGAACCAGAACCATCTTGATCAGATGTTGAAGATCGCCAAGTGGTATCCCCATAAACTGAAGCACCACCATAAAGATCTGCAAAGGCTCCATCGTAACCACCATTTGGTGCAGGATATGATCATGTTGGCACCACATTGGTCCCACTGTTTCTCCCATACCCTGCTGTCCCCAACCAAAAGCTGTTATTACCACTTCCATAGGCAAAATTCACACTATTACTAGAAACATTATTCCCTCCAACTTGACTGGAAATTGAAGAAGAACCCCAATTAATTCCACTATTTCCGAAGGAACTTCCTCCCATACTACCACTTCCAGATCCCATATATGCTCCAGAACTAGCAGCATTTGTGTTATAATTAAGCCCCCCGTTTCCCCAAAGATTCCGAGTCAATGAGCTGAAAAAGGAAGTATTACCTCCAGTAGTCCCATCAAACCCACTAGGACTACCAAACCTATTTGTATTACCAATATAATAAGGGTTAACACCCCATCCATAGTTCATATTAGCACTAAAATTTGTACTGTTTGCAAAACTTAGATTCAAGCCTGGCTCAAAGTTCATGCCCATTCCATAATCAGAACCAAAAGGAGGCAGCCCACTTCGACCACCTGCCACCGGACTGAATCTACCATCCATCCTAAGTCCATAGCCATCAACACTGCTTGGTGTATATCCCTGAGTGTAACCATCAAGAAAGTCATTAAACCTATTAAGACCATAGTTATATCCACCAAGGGGGCTACGACTGGGACCCGGAGATAACTCTTTGGGAACAGCTCGTTTGACCTCGACCATTTTACCATTCAGTTCATGGAAATTTTTTAGCAAGACTTTGCCCACCGCCTCTTCTGAATCATAAGTGATAAATCCGAAACCTCTAGGCCTTTGGGTTTTCTGATCATACATCACTACAACATCTGTGATATTCCCAAACTGATCAAAATACTTCTTAAAGTCGCTCTCTGTGACTGTAGATGCTAAACCACCTACAAAGATCTTTCTTGCGTGACCTGGACCAGGTGAACCATGGATGCTACTAGTGCTTCTACTCATAATGTTCTGATCATCCCTGGGAACTGCCTTTTTTGCCTCCACCTGCGCAAAGGTAACTCAATGATGAAAATAAATCTTAAACACCACAAACTGTTTCAGCACAATATATGTAATTACACTAAATAAAAAGAATTAAAAACATAACCAATACCAATTGCAAAGAAAAAAATAAAAATGAGGAAGCACGATCGCTCTTGGCTCAATTTTGAAATTTAGTTGGACTCAGAACTGGAATTTTATGACTTCCTGCAATTACAATATTGGGTTGATAACTCCGATAAAGGAATTGAATCTACACCTCTTGCTTCAATAAGCTAAGAGCATCAATAAATAGTACATTACACGACATTAATCTATGAAGCAGGGTTTCAAATCGCGGTCACGTTTTCGGTTATTTCGGATTTACCTTGATTGCGGCCTTCGCGGGTAACTCGGACGGCGGCGAAACCGCTATATCGCGGCCGAAATCGTGGTCGCGGACCGTTTTTTAAAACCCTGCTATGAAGTAGTGCTTAAAGATAAAAACTTACCATCCGGCCATCTATTTTGTGTTTCTCCAAGATGACTCTCTCAGCGACAGTCGGGTCAGAGAAAACAACAAAACCAAAACCACGAGCACGTCCTGTGGTCCGATCCTTCATGATCACTGCCTCTACCACTTCGCCAAAACTACTGAAATACTCCTTGAGACTCTCTTCATTGGTGTCCCAAGATATCCCACCAATAAGTAGCTTACCATTCCCAGACATCTTTTTCTGCATTAAAGAAAAACTCGTTCTGTCATTACAAAGTCCAAACTATCACAAATGGAAACCAAATACTCACTTTAACATAAAAGGCAAAATTCATAACTGAATCCAATGCAAACCATAAAAATTCCATTACAACGACAAAGACCAATAAAAAGCAAATAGCATAGCATCAAATTAATGATAAAGAATCAAAATTGCGATTGTTTTTACTAAACCAATCCAATCAGGATAATGCAGATACAATTCGATACCCTTTATTGTAACAAAAAAAGGTGTAATTTGACACAGAATGAAATTTTTTTCTCTGATCCTAAATTTAGAAACAAAGAGATCCTTCGACGATCAATCAACCGACCAATCCATAATTTAACTTCACCTGGAATCCAGAAATGAGAAGGCTAAAAACAAACTAAAATACCCAGATAAATGATCAATCCGAAGCTGGACATAGCTGCAAATATTTATTAGAAACTTAAGCAAAAGATCGCAAACCCAAATCCAGATTCGTCAAAAAGGAATCAAATGAAACCCAAGTACCAAATCTTGCAGAAATATAAGATCTGAGAGGAGGCACGATTAGAAAAAGAATAGAGGAGGCTAGTTTCATCCTCTTTCTTCTCTTCTATTTTCCCTGCCCCCTTCAAATAACTATAGTTTCCTCCTGTCAATGGTGTTCTTTCTTGCAAAATAATCTCAATCCTGATTTCTTTTTTACTTTGCAACCCAAATTCAAATTTAGTATTGATATAAATTTATATTCAATAAGTGCAACAAATAAAAAATAGAAAAAAATAAGAGAGAGAGAGAGATTATAAAGTGAGAAAAAAAAAGGAAGCTTTACAGAGACTCCTTCGACGAATATACATGAGAAAGGTGGTGTATGGTTTTGTAGAGGTAAAAGATTTGTAGTTTGTGAATTATATATGTATGTATATGTAGCAGAAGAGGTGAATCAAAAGTTTATAGTCTGTAAGAAGAAGTATGTTTGTTTTTAACGTCTGCATACTGCTAAAATAAACTGAAATATAAATAAATTGATTTTTTAAACTTAAAAGAGTTTTGTAATACTGAAATTTAAATAATTTTAATTTTACAATACTGAAATTTAAATAATTCATACAACTACAATAATAAAATTTTTATAAAAACAAACATCACTTTATTAATTCTATTATAAGTATCACATAATCACATGTATTATTAGTTTTATAAAATAAAATTTATAAATGATTATTAAATTATATGATTTTTTAAACATTAAATTATCTAAAGTTATATAATAATATTAAATTTTAAATTTTATTATCATATGACACAATAACATTAATTATCATTAAACTATTATTAATCAATGAATCATACACCTCTATTTTTTTAAACATTAATTATCATTAAATTATTATTAAATATGCAATTATGTAATACTTTTAATTTTTTAAAATATATATTCATAATTTATTTTTATAATTATATAAATATTTTTAGAAAATATTTTTTAATTTATCAAATTATTTTATGATTATTTTTTATTTAATTGTGATTATATTTTAAAATTTTAAAAATATAATTTATAATTTTATATTTTAAAATCTTAATTATCAAACAATGAAATCATTTTTTATTAAGCAATGTGGTTTAAATACTTACATTTCATATAAAAAGTTTAAATATAATTTAAAAATAACAAATCCAAAAAATATTATATTTAAACTTAAATCAAAATAATTAAAATAAATATAAAATTTTAATAATATATAAAATAATTTATATGATATAAAATTAAATATCTATAATATAATATTAAAAAAATAATATTTAATTTATTTAAAAAATTAATAGTAATATCTATAAATATAATATTAAAAATTTAATATTTAATTTATTTAAAAAATTAAAATTAAAATTAAAATCAAATATAATATAAAATCAAATTAAATATAAAACCTCTTTGAAGATGTTAGAATACGTCTGCAGACATAAGGTCACGTCTGCTCCGCGCAGAGCACGCGCAGACGTTAGAAGAACTTCTGTCTTCTAAAAAAACAAACGGTCTGCGAAGTTCAATGTCTGCGCGTGGTCTGCGTGGCACAGACATAAGAGCTTTGAAGACTTTAAACAGTGAAAATAAACACTACCAAAGTCTCTGCGATGCAACTTCATTTTTTTTTCTATTTCTTTTATATATTTTAACAATTTTTGTATGATTTTTTTTATTTTCTGAAAACTAAAATGTTTTTTAGTAAATAAAATATTAAGCTATTTGATATAATAAATTTGGTAGGAGATTTGCTTGTCCTCCTCCTTTTATACTTATTGGCGATAATTTACTCTACGTCGCGTCTTCGTATACGTTAATGCTGCTTTGCATGCATGAATGTTTTAATACACGCAGTTCCACTGAGTTATTGTGTGGGTTCATTTGCAATTGAATCAAAAGGTTTGTTTTCGTTATATATTTCTTCATCGATGGATTAAGATGGATGATTTAGTAGAGAAATTCGATTTATTTGGTTGCTTCCATTTTTGGTGTCCGAATCAGTCCTTAGTGAATGTTTTATTGTTTTGTATAAACTATATAAATAGTCCTCAATTATATATTGTTATTTTGTTGAGTCATCTTATTTTTAAAAGTTATAAAATGATCCCTTGATTACATGATATAGCTTTGTTGAGTCATCCGACTATTAAAATTTATAAAATTATCACTCAACTATTCATATGCTCCAAACTCGTCATTTTCCGTTAAAAAATTTGTGATCGTTTAAGTTTGACGTTAATCTGTTAATTGTAATATAATAAAATCTGATCGTATAAATGTTTGAGTTGTATTTTATAGATCAACTTTATGTTTATATTATGTCATCAAGTCAGTACTTGAAAGAAACGGTGGTGTAAGTAGACATCATTAAAATATAATTTTATCACTTAAGTATGTTAACGTTCAACTCAAATGGACATCAAATTTTAACAAAAAAACACGTTTAGAACACATAAATAGTTGAGTGATTTTTTTATAATTTTTACTAATTGAAAACTCAACAAAATAATATTTTATAATTAAAAAATTATTTTGTAGTTCTTAATGGTCAATGAATTCAACAAAATAACACTCTATAATCGAGTGATTATTTATATAATTTACTCTATTATTTATTTCAGTTATAATGATAAATGAAAACTAATACACTTCTCTGAAAGGTCAATTCATTAATCTCCCTCCATTCAATGTTAGCTCAAAAACATCTCTCACCCCAAGCATCAGTTTTTTTTTCTTCCTTTCATCCTAAATTTCTTTTATCGATCAAAATTAATAATTTTTTTAATTATAATCGACAGTGTTTTAAGAACTAATAAACGATCTCTTCTATATATATATATTCAACATCACCATGAATTTGTGTCATCCCATGCTCACATATTCTTTTTGTATGACCATACCTCCCACACAAATAACATATTGTCGACAAACCCTCACACTGTGTTGATGAAATCCATTGATAATAACTTGTGGCTTATTTGACTCAATAAGCATAGGTAGTCGAGTACACTTCCCTTTCTTTTTCCTTCAATAGTATTATAATATATCCTAATAATATTGACACCAATCCTGTAATGATCCAAAACATACTTTTGGTATAATACCTAAATGGTAATTTTGGCAATATCGCTTACAACAGAATGTTACAAGTATAACAACTCGAGACAAAATAAAAAAATAAAAAATAAATATTTTATTAATAATTAAAATGTATATTTTAGAATAAAAAATCTAATTTCTGACTTAATAATGAATTTGAAACTAGTTCAGTGTAATAGTTACACAATTTGCAGTTTTCTTAAGATAATTTTTTTACTACTTTTTGGTGTTTGATTTCACATAGAGATGGATCCACAACCCAACCATGTCCAAACATTCATGTTACCTGTTGGAAATGTTGGTGGACATTCGATAAACTTATAACTCGTACGATAATATTAATATGAACCAAAATGATACAATCACGAACAATAAAATATGACACTAATTACGACTAATTTACAAACACTACACTTAACTAAAGCTTTGCTAAGCTCTCTCAATCTCTTGATTTTCTACTATTAGCTTTCTTCACTGATACATACTCATTACATGAACTACACTCACATATATTTATAGTATGCTAAACCGCCTCAATTTGCCGCCAACCATTACTCGCCGTAGTGGAGTTATACTGCGTATTTATTAATTTGCTGCCATCTTTGCTCCATAATTTTGCCACCTCAATTCTTCATTTCTTAATAGGTAAGCATTTCACCCTTTGTTGCCAAATCACGTCATTCTCCAATTACTTTGTAAATGCCACCTATATGCTTTTGTTGTCAATCTTTGACACTTTTTTGCTACTTCCATATAGTTTTACCGATATATAAATCTAACTTGATTCTAACACTATCCCAAATTTGATTTTCCATTCTGAGTTTTTTTTAAGTATGTGAAATACACCTGTTTTCAATAGCTTCATAAAAATATATGGTAATTGATCTTTGATTCGACAGTAGATTAATTCCACATTTTTGTTCTTTACTTGATCTTGTTAAAATGATACTTTGTATCAATGTGCTTGCTTCGATTATGGGAGATGATATTCTTTACAAGAGAAATTATAGACTTGTTGTCGACATAAATTGTAGTTGGTTCTTCTTGTGTCAAGTTTAACTTGTTCAAAATATTCTTCAACCACATTGCTTGGCAAGTGCATGTTGCAGCGACTACATATTTTGATTCACATGTCGAAAGAGTTACTGTTTAATACTTCTTTGAAGACCATGAAAATACTACAGGACCAATTTGGAATAAATATCTATATGTGCTCTTTCGATCATCCAAATCTCCCCCATAATCAATATCAGAATAACCAACTTCGGATTTTCTGAATGTAACACCCATAGCCCGTATATATCTCGATATACGAGCCAAAGATATCACATCAACTTAACAAACATTCACTGAGCATAAAGGATTAAAATCT